ACTGGAGACCCATTGGTCTGGGGCTGTCACTGGAGAGCCCCTGGTCTGGGGCTGTCACTGGAGAGCCCCTGGTCTGGGGATGTCACTGGAGAGCCCCTGGTCTGGGGATGTCACTGGAGAGCCATTGGTCTGGGGATGTCACTGGAGACCCCCTGGTCTGATGCTGTCACTGCAACACAAGCCCAGCCCATCGTCCCCCCCTGCAAAGCCCGAGCTGGGGATCCACAGCTTCCCTGAGACAATTCCCCAGGGAGAACCTGCAGAGCACGGGGCACCTCGAGGCCTTTGAGGCTCATCATCTCCTGCCCCAGTTCCATCAGCTCAGTCCCCGASTGGCACAAGTTGTCACATCCAAAGATCTGGCACAGAGGCACTGGCCAGAGGATGGACAACCAGGCAGAGAAGCAGCATTTGTTTTGCTGCTCCAGCAAAKGTGTCACTGACACGATGTCCATGTCCTGGGTGAGGTTTGGCTCACCAGGGCCACATTTCCTCGAGGCAGACACACCTAAGCTCAGCCCACCTGGGCATTCCCCATGATCTCCTGCAGAGGCGGTGGGAAAAGGACAACTCCAGGAATAACATCCCTGTGAGAGTGGAGGAATGGTGTCACTCAAAGGTGTTTCCCTGGGCTGTTCCTCAAAAGGCARACATGAACATTCTTAGAAAACAACTGGTATTTATTGACTGACAAGGACACAGCAAAGCAGACACTTGTGCAACACTAAACGACACAAATACRCACGTTGTAATCAAAAGGATTATATAAAAATTAACACAAGGCACAAGCAGGATGTAATGCAACTCAAACCCCGAAGCACCATTTTCTTCTGAGAGGAAATACAAGGAATATAAATAACACCCACACTTCTTGTCACACAAGTTGTACATCTTGAGGTAGACAAAATTCCCTTAAAGCACAGACTTTTTTATTTCCCAAGTGAGATCTTTATTGGATTGTTGCAGATTGGAGTCTTGGTCTGAGGGTGCAGGAGTGACTCTTGCAGGAGTGGGGTTTGTGACTCCCCTCACTGGTGGGTTTTGGTTTCCACAGCCCATTTTGTTGGCCTAACAAAGCCCCCCCAGCTCCAGCAGTGCCCTGCCCTTCCATCCCAGCGGCAGCTGTGATATCCTGATACATATCCTGATTTATTCCAGGATGAATCTCCAGGAATCACTGGGGTATCACCATCAGATGGAGCAGCCTCCCCAGATGAGATTTTTCCCAAGCAGGTTCAGCTCTTCAGTAGGGAATCTATAAACACCAGAAATGGTAAAACTTTTACAGAATCCCAGAATCGTTTGTCTGGGAAGGGACCTTAAAGCTCATCCTATTCCACCCCTGCCATGAGCAGGGACACCTCCCACTGTCCCAGGGTGCACCAAGCCCTGTCCAGCCTGGCCTTGGGCACTGCCAGGGATCCAGGGACAGCCACAGCTTCTCTGGGCAACCTGAGCCAGGGCCTCCCCACTCTCACAGGGACTAATTCCTTCCCAAATCCCATTTATCCCTGCCCTCTGGCAGTGGGAAGCCACTGCAGGAGCAGCAATGTAAAAATTTTTGTAAAAAGGGATGGATGGATGGATGGATGGATGGATGGATGGATGGATGGATGGATGGATGGATGGATGGATGATGGATGGATGGGTGGATGGGTGGATGGATGGATGGATGATGGACGAATGGATGGATGATGGATTTCTATTTCCCCCCTGCAGCAAACATCCTGGATCCATGACTACCAAGCCCAGCACCACAACACGCCAGGAGAGGTAATAAAATCTGGACTGGGAAGTCCACAGAGGGACAGAGACAGGGATGGGGACAGGAACAGGGACAGACCTGTGTGGCCAGTGAGGACACTGGTTAGGGGTGTTGCAGCTATGGTTGTTCCCAAGTTTTTGGATTTTAAGTGCAAAGATTCAGTCCAAACCAAAACACTCCCAGCAAAGCCTTGCAGCTCAGACTTTCACCATCAGTAGCCACTGAAGTTTGCACTTGGAAAAGAGGATTTTTATAGGCAGGGTGAGAGCTTTAACTCTGCTGCTGGAAAGATTTTCTTGCAAAGACTTAAGTGCAATCTCCTTGTGTCTCCAGCCTGTCGTTCCAGTAATTTTCACACCTAAACAAATCCATGGGATTTGCAGGACATTGTAATGTGTGTGTGGCACAATTAAAAAGTTCTCTCTGGTCCAAAAGGGCTCCTGGGTCTTCACAGCCCAGATCTCCAGGAGGTGGCAGAAGAGCTTTGCTCAAGATGATGCTTGGTCTTGGTTCGGAGGAAAACACAACTRAAGCCTAAGAATATCGAGGGCCAAACAGGCTCGGGTTTTGCTCCCTGCCCCACTGCTGTTATTTTAATTAAATCATATTTTGGAACAAATTTCACCCAATAAAACAGCCCTGGACAAYAGAATGAAATCTAAACCCCAAAGCCACCAAGGTATCTGCCCCAAGCAAAACCTGTGCCTCCCTTATCCAGAGCACCATTYCTAAAAACCTCGGTGCTGAAGGACACCAAAAGGACTGACATCAATATCACCTTGATCTCAAACTACACTCAAGTCTTTTCTCCMATCCTCAAATTTGAAATTATTTCTTTCCCATCAGTGTTCATCATTTGGTTTCCAGCCCCTGAGGCTGTGCTGCCTGGCAGGGCCTGGACAGGAAGGTTTGGAGCTGTGCCAGGAGGGGCTGAAAAGGTCTCTGAGTTAACCAGAGTAAAGCTGGGGAGCATCCAGACTTGGTTTTAACGGTAAACAACCCAAACTCACTCCAGCCTGATGCTAAACCTCCACATCCCACTGAGCCCAGACCCAGGATTACCAGAAAATGAGCCATATCTTCCTCAGATCTTCTCCAGCAGCTCTCAGGCACATAGAACAAACTTCCAAAAGTCCTCTTTGGTACGTGAAGAAACTTCCTTTTCCTTGAAATATGTTTTTGTTCAGCAGTTCCTGCACAGCTTTGATGAAAGCAAGAGGACAGAGTGGTGTTTCCTCCACCTGCTTCACAAGGAATGGGATCCAACTGTGCTTCCCCCTCCTTGCACTGAGCCCCAGTCCTGATTTAAATGGGAATGATCCATGTAATGGTATGGGATCCCCAAAGAGATGGGGTATTCCCCTTCTCTCCAATACTGGACAAGGCTGGAGGTCAGTGGGACAGAGGGTTTGGGATCAAAAGTTCAGCCAGAGTGAGTTCCCTGCTCACTTTACCCACGATGCCAATTTTAGCTTATTTTTATGGAAGCATTTTCATTGAGTGCTCAAAATTGAGACTCGTGGGAAGATTTCAACTCCAAAAGGATTAAAAGCAACATGTCAATAATGGTCTRCTCTGGGGTATTTGGGAGGTAAAAAAAAAAAAAGGCTAATTAAGCCTATTTGCAGTATTATGTCTGTCATAAACTTTAATTCAGTTCAAGTCAACTTGAGCCAGAAAAGGGATAAAGAGGAATAAAGCCCTTTCAAAGATCTGTAGCTGGTGAGAGGGAAGGTCTGAGTGGCCCMAAACACCAGTTAATGGCTTGATCTGCTCCAAGACTGCTCTCTGCCAGTCCTGGAGCGGGCAGAAGTCAAAAATAGTTGTAAAAACCAAAAGGGCAGGAAAGCCAAGGTGAAGAGAGCAGGAGCACAGGCTCCTCACTGTGCTCAGAGCAGCTGAAATGAGTGGCTGAGCTGCCCAGCTCCAGCAGATCCACTCTGGAGCACGCAGGGCAGATCCCAAACCTCCGAGAACTCCATCCTGGCTGAGAGCTCACCCAGCTCAGCCTGC